AAAAAAAAGGGGACGAGGGGTCGTGCGTCCCGCTGGCCTACAACGTTGCGCACACCCTGGCCGCACAGAGCTGCATCCCGCCGTGGGCGCGCCTCGCACGCCGCTCATCCGGGCAGGACTCAACTCTTACTCACAAGTACGCTGTCAACTCCGGGCGAGGCCATACCGGTGTGACTTGCGAAAAGCACGCCAAATACCCTTGTAAGGGTATTTGGCACGACAACGGGCACTTCACTTGCAGGAGGCAGTCTTTAGGATTCGGCAGCAGCACGCTGGAGGAGCACTGCAGTAGTAGTAGTAGCGTTAGTAGTCTTCAGCGCTGGGCGCTATTAGGAGCTAGAGTAGCGTTAATAGCGCTAGAGTAGCGTTAGAGATAGAGAGATGGTTGGTGGAGGCCAGGGAGACTTACCTGTGGCGCCATAGCTCCAGCTTCGTCTTCGATGTACCTGCAACAAGGCGCCACGTTAACAGGTTAGTACCGGACTGAGAGAGAGAGAGAGAGAGAGAGAGTTCTTCTTCTTCCTCAGACCACCATCTCTCCCTCACCCTCTCGCCACCTGACTTCTCAGTATCTGCAGACTACTAGAGAGAGAGAGAGATTGGTGACTTTGGGACTCGACGACATTTGGATTCATACTCGACAGTGGGATCGAGACATTGGACGAGGGATTATTTGGGCCTGTATCAAAGACTTGGTGTTGATGACATTCCAATCTTCCCCCTCTTCTTCGTCTGACCCCCATCCTCTTCGTCTGTGTATGGTCTGGATCTGGCGCCTTCTTCCTGTGTGTAGCGCCAGGCCCTTCGCACCTTGCGATGAGCATGATGTATGTTTGGTCTGCATTGTGACATTGATTGGTCTGATTATTGGTATATTAGCTTTCCGTTGCGCTATCTTGTACTATGTGAGAGAGGTCGGTTCTTGTTCTAGTCTGCACTTTTACAGTATGCGACAAAGGCCTCAGGTTGCACTTCAACCAACTGTCATGCAGTAACTGTCTGAGACCCGCATTGGAAAATGCTGAGATAAGGGCCTGTCGTGAATATTCTGGCCCGCCTTCACTAAGGGCGGGCATGAGGCTTGCTGGGGGCCACAGTCGGAACATATGCATGTTGCCTAAGGGCCCCTGAGGACACATTCCTCACAATTTGATATTGGAGTAATGCGTCGCTTTGTTTTGTTTTGTCTTGTTTTGTTTTTTAAACCACCACTACCTCCGTTCCTATTTTTGGCGAGCCTGATTTTCACTGCGCACCGAGTTTTACCGAGCCGGGGCACTTCAATCCAAAAGGGAACAAGGGGGAAAAAAAAAAGAAGAAAAAGGAAAAAAAAGAAACTTCCTGAAGGCCTCGATAACCACCAGATACATTCTATGAGGTCCCCGTGTGACTGTGCCCTCAGTGAGGGCGGGAAGTGGACAAACAACAGACAAAAAAAACAAAGCAAAAAGCTCCCTTACAGGATTGAGGGCGGATACAGGACGCTACAGCGCTGAGACTGTTACGTGCCACCCCGTGAAATTCGCCCTGCCTGGCTGGCAGGGCACTACAACGTCATGAAAACAAAAACAAAACAAAAAACAAAAGCAAACACTTCCCCACGTTGTGGCCAGATACATTCCTCAAACCACTGGTGTTACGTGCCACCCTTGTGAGGGCCTTCCCCGACGTCCTTGCTCTTTGTTTCTTTTCTTTCTTTTCTTCTTTTTTTCATTTTTATTTCGTTGGCCGCCAACCTTGCCCCGAGCCCCGTGTTTTCAGGAGTAGGCTACTAGATGGACTTTGCGTTTGCCTGTGAAAGGTAGTGGTCGTTTAATCTCACTCTGTGCCTTTGTTGAAACAGGAGATAAATTGAGTGTGTCTGTTTATGCTACCTTTATGTAAGGTTGCTTTCTATTTCCAAAAATGGCAATAAATTTTATACAAAAGAGGATGAACACAGACCGTTTCTTGGTCTTTCTGTTACTGGGATTAAATCCCTTCCACCACAAAGAGTATAGAGGGGTGTGGATGGTCATGTCGTCTGTCAGCTATTGCATGAAACTCTAGAATCTCTGTTTGGGTGGTTTTCCCGTGAGGGTGGTTTTCCTGTGACGAATGATGGATTTCTCCTCTTTCTGATGCTCTGATGCTTTTGTCGTGTTGCTTATAGCCTGATACCAGTATACCATTCTTTGTACTTTCACAATGTTTCTTCTAGCTTTCGTCTCAATCTCGTTTATAAAAAGATGCCTTTTTGTTGTGTGTTGCTCCCTTGACAGAGGCGGATGCAGTAGCGTACTGTGAGAAGAGGTGTGTGGGTGTTTTCCCTGAAAGAGTGGCACCGATCTGCGATGCGAAACTGCGCTCAAAAATTGCCCGTATGGTCCCAGACTACCGGTACGTATCCACTACCTGGCAGACTACCGGTACATGTCCACTACGTGGATGTTTCTTCCCCCCCCTTCCCCTCCTCCCCACTTGCCCCTCTGTTCACTTCCCGTCCCCGTTTTTGTGCACCACCTCTACCTCCCTGCACAACCCCTTTCCTTCTTATTTCTCTGTTGTTCACTTCCTCCCTCTCCCCTCCCCCCCCCGCCCGCCTCCCCCCTCCTCTTTATTTCTCTTATCTCTTCCTGTGCCAGCTTTGAGCCCTTTGTTTGGTATCTTCATTAAGGTTCTCCTTTATGTCTTCGAAGTTCAACCCATTACGTCCAGCAGTGTTGCTTGCAGCGAACGAGCTGGAGGCTGGTACTGAAAGGCAAGGCTATCAAGGGCATAGGACAAGGGTAAGAAGGGTGGAGGGAAGGTGTTGCAATTGCCTTCCTGTTTTTTTTTTTCTTCTGTGGGGGAGAATGGATGGAAACAGTGTATGAAATTCAGTTCTTTTTTTTTTTTCTTTTTTCATGTTGCGAGGCCACTGCCTCTATGAGCCCCATTCAGCCCCCATTTTGGAGCCAGTCGGCTGCCCTAAGTGAAGGCAGGCTCGACGAGGCCCTCAGGGCCCTACTTTGGCCACTGCGCAACTAAGGAAATTCAGGCAGTTGCGCAGCGTCAGTTGG